AAAATGCCCCCCCCCCCATCAGGGCGCGGGTTCATAAATCCAGCTTGGTATCACGACGTTTTGGATCTATTTAGCGGTGGCTCTATTGACCGGAGTAGTCATTTTCATTAAAAAAAGTGTGTATCGCAGCTTTATACATAGTTGACTGCATTCCTAAATGATGTTCCACATTTGACAATCAGCTGCCTAGGATATAAGTAGACTGCACCTTATCACGCAGAGAGTGACACAGGCTACGTTTCCATGGCACAAGCTAAGCCGATTTTGAAAAATGGATTTGCTCCATCATAGCATTTAGGCATAATTTAAAAATGTAAATATAGGATTAGGTGCTAGCTAAAGTCATGTGTACGCTCATTTTTTTGCATAAGGTAAATAGTTTCCGAGAAAAACGCACGTGAAATTTCGCTAAATCGATTTAGACGTGTCATGGAAACGTAGTGACACAGTTGAATGCTGTGACCTTCGCCATTGACACAGTTGTGTGATGGACGACCTAGTCTAGCGTTCCATTTCACTGGTAAATTGTAAGAGATGGAACCGTTTTGTAGTCAACTGTACATTCCCCCTGCAACACATTACCCCTGCAAATGCAATACAAGCGGATAGGCTAATAATCTTCATTGCCCGATTTATTCCAACCAGCGCACACTACAAAGCTGCCACATTTAGCGATAGCGAAGTCAACACATCCATTCGTGATCACTCCCCTGTCATGCCTGCAATGTCAACTCAACAGTCGAGCGTTGCCTGTTTTGCCGGGAACATATCTCTGAGGTGCATGGTGATTGGTGATGGCGCTCTTTTTAGCACTGAACTCAGTCTGTTGTGTGACGTCTAACCGCTGCAGACTGTTGCGCCAGTGCGGTTCATTGAGAGCGGGAATTGGACGTCACATTTCGAGGAGAAAGACGTGACTGTGAACTGCAAAACCCCCACCCGCGCATGACTGGGGGCTCTACAGAGCCCCCTCCCGTTTTTCGGCAATATCTTCTAAATCATTGGACGGATCAACACGAAACTTGCGCTACTCTCAGCGGCATCAATTTGACACCTTGTGTTATAATTTCAACTTTCTAGCTACCATAATTTGGCCCGAAATGACGTCAGAAAGACGTCGTGTCGGCCGATTTTAATGCAATATATTGAATTATAGCAAACGCTCTCAAGAGCTTAGTTTTAAAGCTAGATCTAAGTTATTTGCATCAGTGGACTACACATACACGTAGCTATCAAACCGCTATCTCAAATCTTCGAAATATTTTACAATTTTGAAAAAAACGTATTTTTACAAATACAAAAAATATATTTTTGATTTTTTTCGAAATGTTTGATTTTTCAAAAACCGGAATAAATGTGATAGAACACAAACTGATAAACTACTCTAGCAAGTTTTAGCGCAACATCTTCAAAAACAGCCAAGTTATTTGCATTGTTGTCAAAATGTGTTTATATTTCTCAAAACCGTTTTTCAGCACGTGTTGGACATCATACAACAATATAAATGGCACCATCGTGTTCCTGAGCTTAAACTACACCTGATAGACACCTTTTTTGTTGAAAATTTCATTTTCAAAATTTGACTTTTTCTGACCTGAAAGTGACCTGACCTCCGGTAAATTCAGCTAAAAATGACCTCAAATGACACAGGCGACATTGTTTTCGAAACCTATGAGTAAAATGGACCATAAAACATGCGTCACATGACCTATGCATGATATACCATTTTCGTGACCTAGGATAACCTGGCCTTGACCCGAAAAAAATTGAAGTAAAAGTTCGGTAGGTACCCTCAAGGTACCTAAGGCATATATCGAGGAGTGCATAAACCAAAAATGAGCGTGATCGGACTTGTCAGCCGGCGGTCAGAGCCTAAATTGTGAACAAGCAAAAATGCCGATAATTTTTATTTTGACCTGACCTGTGACGTCATCGGTGACCTTGAGGTCAATGAAAATATGTTTCGTTCGACAGTTTTTCCAGGAATATCAGACGGCGTTTGAATTTTGACGATCGGCTCAGTAGTTTCGAAGATAGGAGGGGGGGGGGGGGGGCGGCAGTCACTCGCGTTATGGAAAATACCCCAGTCATGCGCGGGTTGAGCGGAGTAGCTGGATTTATTAAGCGGATTGATAAAGAATGGGCGTCTATGGAGAAAACCCGTGAACAGCTCAAGTGGCCACAATAATCGGCTGGATTTATTTTCCGAGGATTTATTAAGCGGATTCCACTGTACCTACTAACATTTGTGTACACAACACTCGTTTTTATGGTTAATATACACAGGCGTTACAGACCTACGGGTATATGCGATACAGGCATTATAATTCGTACAAAGTTACGTGTGTATGCATTCCCGTATTGGCGACTATTACAATACTGCTTACGCAACCCGAGCTCCGTATCAGCCGGTCCCCGTCCAACAGGGCTCCCGCCAGGAGCCAATTTTGGTTCGGAAAACGCGATGGCACGCGTTGGGTGCCGCTGGAAGGCCACCAGGTCACGGTCGGTCCGAATCAGCGCATCTCGGCGGTCGGCGCCGCCGCTGACCGCGGCGCCCGCACGGCCGGCGATACCATCACGACGGGCCGTGCCGGCGTCACGCCGCCGCGGCGCCGTCACGCGTCACCAGCGGCTGCCGATGGCCGGACGCCGCACCGATCGCCGCTGCCGATCGCCGGACGCCGCTCGATCTGAGGGGGCACCGACTGATCGGGCCCGCGGCACACCGCCCAGTCGACACATCTACATCAGCTGATCAGCACGGCACCGACTAGCTGATCGGGCCCGCGGCACACCGCCCAGTCGACACGGCTACATCGGGACGGACTGAGCGGTGCCAGTGAGGGAGAGAGAGAGAGAGCCGTATCAGTGCTGGAGCAGGGGCCGGAGCCGTATCTAACTGAGCCGTATCTAGACAGGTCGCTGGGGCCGGGGCCGCCAGTGGCGAAGATGGTAGATTGCGTGAAATCATTGTCATCGGCTGAGCTGACCCGATGTACGATAGACGAACTCACCAACCCGATCGGCTGCGTCTGTAAAAGACTAAAAGATAGAGGCTCAATGTGTTGCAATGTTTCATTCCTCCGCATAATTTTCAGCCTTTAACCCTTGCCGGCACAGGGGGGGGGGGGGGTGATGCAACTCCCCTAAGGGTTTTCGCGAATAACTAACGGGCAGCACGCTCGTTTTTTTTTTTCTGCGAAGCTCTAGCTCCATCAGGGGCCAAACGCGAGGGGGGTCGTACCAACGATCTTGTGCCGTCGAAGGGCTCAAAATGGCCTGTGCCGGCGATGGTTAACCCCTGTTTTTTCGCCAATAACTCGCGCCGCAAACATAGTATTAATGTGAAACTTTGGCTACCTGTCCAGAATTGAATTGCAGATCTTCTCGTGCAAGAAATAAGAAAATCGGTTCACAACTTTTCTAGTAATAGCGGTGTAAAGTCAAGCATCCTGCGCCGCCGCGGCGGCGCGGCGGCGCGGCGGCCGGCGCTAGCCGTTACGCGCCGCCTGAATTGTAGACTGTGCCGGGGCGGGATGATTCCGTCTCTACACCGCGCTCCTTACCGCTGATTACATTAGATTCGCGTCAAATTTAGTGAGAAGACTGATAAATGTACAGGCAATCATATGGTTTAAGAATTTTGAAAATCGGCCGGTAACAACTTGAGTTATGAGTGTGTAAACACAAAATTGTGATTGCCGCGTTTCCCGCATCGGCCGATCCCGCTTCAGCCGGCGACATCTTACCCTTAGCAGGCTTCTAACTGCCACATGTATTGTTAGATTAACAAGAAGTTCACCATACATACTCACAAATGTTTGTTCTTCCGTATAGTGAAAGAAAAAAGAATATCGGCCGGTAACTTTTTGAGCTATCATCATCATCATCATCATCATCATGTATTTCGGACAACATCCATAAAATGGTTTTTCAGCAATCCACGTCATCTGACAATAAAAGCGACAATGAAAGACACACAGATACACACACAGAAACACGTACCTAGCATGACAGTAATCACAAACAAGTGCATCAACCTAAGTGCGCAATCGACATACCTTTCTTAAAAGCAGTCATATTTGGTGATGCTCTGATCTCGGGGGTCAGGCAATTCCACGCTCTAACCGCCCGGTGGTAAAAAGAGCGTCTGGCAAGCTCGGTGCGTGCACGCGGCAGCTCCAGCAGACCGTCGCTGACCGCCCTGGTGGTGCGCGACGACACATTGGCGCGACTCACCAGTCGAGCGCGCAAAAGTTCAGGGGCGCTCTCACGTGTGAGTCTGTACATGGTGCATAGGTCACGTTCGGTTATCATGTCTCCGATGGTGGGCCAGCCAAGCTCGCGCAAACGTCCCGGATATGTGCTCACGGTACCCTAAGCCAGACACGACGCGGGCGGCAAAGTTGATGCACTTTTGTAGCCGACGTTTCTGGGTCGCATTACAGCCTCCCCACACACTCATGCAGTAGTACAAATGGGGGAACACGAGGGCTTCAACTAGCAGTTTCTTTGTTTCTCGCGGTACGCGGCGCTGCATTCTGGCCAGCCCTATCAAAACACAGTAACACCGCCGGGTGACTGTGCCTATGTGGTGTTCCCAAGTCAGATTCGAGTCGAGATTTACGCCCAGGATCTTGACACACTGTACTGGGACGAGATCGGAGTTACTAAATCGTACTTGAATGTCAAAAGGGGAGTTTTGGCGTGATGATTTAAAAACGAGCAAGTCAGTCTTAGAAGGATTGAGCTTAAGTCTATTTGTTGTAAACCATCGCAAAGCTACGGACAAATTTTCTTCAACGCGCCTTTTCACTTCAAAAACATTGCCTGGCGAGTCAGAGTCGAGAAACTGGACATCATCGGCGTACATAACCAGTTTACCATGAGGTATGTGCTGCGGCAAGTCGTTTGTAAAAAGGAGAAACAACACAGGACCCATAATGGATCCCTGTATCACTCCGTGCGTAACAGGTAGCGCATCACAGGTCCCGCCTCTAACCGACTGAGTGCGGTCAGAAAGCCACGCACGAAACCATCGGTCGTCGATGCCATACCATCCCAGCTTCTCCAAGAGCCGGCCGTGCTCGACGCTATCGAAAGCCTTAGATGTGTCGGCAGTGACGAGTGTCGTCACGCGTCCACGATCCATGTTGTCGGTTATGTAACCGACGGCATCGAGCAGGGCCGACTCAGTGGATTGGCCGGGGCGGAAACCGTACTGCTGGTGACAGAGAACATGGCAATCGACAAGGTATGTCATCAGTTGCATACACACAACTCGTTCACAGAGTTTGGCGACCACCGGCAGAACAGAGATGGGCCGGTAGTTGCTGGGGTCGTCCGTGTCTCCACCCTTATGCAAAGGAACGACAGCCGCGGCACGCCAAGATGGAGGTAGCTCAGCACTTCTGATGCTGCTGTTGATGACGTTCAAAAGGTGCGGGCCGACCACTGGAAAGGTCATCCGCAGCATGGCGATGGTGATGCCGTCGTCTCCGCTAGCCCTGGACGAGCTCATACGCTGGAGCGCCGTCGACAGTTCGGGCAGTGTCGCCGGCCGCGGGCTAAACGCGCCGGCAACGACACGCGGCGGCCGCGGCCGGAGAGGCGCCCCGGTGTCCGAGGCAGCCAGTCCCTCGGCGACCGCCGAGCCTACTCCAGCGAAATGAAGATTCAGGCGGTTCAGCCAGCCAGACTGCAGGTTTTCGCGGCTGTGAAGGCTCGGCTGCGGCTTGTCAGAGCAGACGAGGAAGCGGCGGATGTCCCTCCAAGTGGTGGACCTGGAGCGTCTGTAGGAGGAGAGGAAGAACTCGGCGCAGGCGCGGTGCTGGGCCGTTTTTACTGCGTTACGGCTAGCTCGAAACTCGCGCTCCGTCTCTTCACAGGGAGTCCTGTCCCTGTCCAGACGCGCCGAGTCTCTGACGTCCATCGCAGCTCTGACGTTCTCGTCGTTGAGCCACGGCTGAGATTGATGTTTAATCCTGATTTGCCGGACCGGCATATGGTGGTCGATCAGCGGACTCCAGACCGATCTCCAGGCGTCCCATTTGGCTGTAGTCGTGTCGGCACGGTAGACGCCGTCCCAGTCGGCCAGAAGGAGGTCCAGACGCAGGGCGTCCTGATCCAGATGGCGAGTCGATCGCACTGTGATGGTTCTCGGCTGCTGACGGCATTTCAATCCGGCCACTGACGCGGCGATCAGGTCGTGGTCGCTGATGTTGGAGGCGACGACGCGTGGATCGAAGGTGAGGTCTGGCTTGTTGGTGATCAGGTGGTCGATCAAGCTTGGAGTCGGTCCGGGGCGAGTCGGTGTCGTTATCAGCTGATGAAGCGACAGGTCAGCGAGCAGCCGACTGTATTCCTTCACCCCTGGTTTCGTTGCCTGGAGAGCGTCGAAATTTGTGTCCCCGAGAATGTAGACTGGGGTCCTCCTGGAGATGACGTAGGCGAACTGGTCGCGCATGTCGTCGATCACCGGCTCAACAGGTCCCGACGGCGGTCGATAGATGGCGCCCACGATGGTCTGACGGCGGCCGGTAAGCTGGATCCACAGGGTCTCCAGAGGCGAGCCGGCCGACGGTACCGTTAGTGGCTCGGCGGACAGGCCGATGCGGTGGATGACGGCTACGCCGCCCCCGCCGCGACCACTCCTGTCCTTGCGCTTGATGGCGTACCCCGGGAACACAAGCGTTCGATCGTCCATCGCCGCCGTCAGCCATGTCTCGCTTAGACACAGCACGTCCAGGTTCGGCGTGTAAACGCAAAAAAAGTCGCTCATATGGCAGATTTGACCACATTTGACCTCATTTGACCTTGAAGATATTGACCTAGGGTCATGAAATTCACACACAACAAAGTTCCCCATGGCCCCCACCTACCCTCCGAATTTCGTCTTTCTAGCTTCAGTGGGAGCTGAGATCTTAGGGGGGGCGACATCCGCCCCCCTTCCACTGGGCGTAGTACTCGCAACCTTTCCACTGCGCGTGTTAGTCCTCCGACGGCACAAGGGGGGGGGGTACGACCCCCACTCGCGTTTGGCCCATGTTGGAGCTCGCGGAAAAAACGACCGTGCTGCCCGTCACGAGAGGAAGTCAATGATACCCAATTTTAAGGTCCTAGTTCATCGGTTGACCTTCCAGATCAGGTCAATGACAAAAAAAAAATCGGGAATATCGGGACCTGTTAGAAAGTCGTAAAGCGTGGCTGCCAAGGGGTTTTCCGGGGTGCTGATCATCAATATCGTGTAAGTTTTGATCAGAGATGATGTCGTTAAGCATTTAGACCAGGTCGGGTCAGGTCAGGTCAGGCCAACCGGTAGGGGTCGGGACGGGTATTCGTAGTACCTGTCATCCGCCTCTGACAGCTTCGTAACATGTCACGAAGGCACCAAAACTACTTCGCAAATGTTCAAATGGTTGCTAAATTCGAATTCAGCTCCCAAAACTAGCCTAGAAACATGTAAAACTCGAAAAAGTGAACCGAGGTCACCAAAGGTCAATGACCTGACCTGACCTTCAGGTGACCTTGACACCCATCCTAATGCATGGGAGCAACATCAGATCACATGGTTGAACGTTTGAAACCACGAAAAGCTTGCAAACGCGTGGCTAATGCGAGCTAATGGCCACGGAAAAGAGGTCACAGGTCAAAGGTCATCTGGGTCAGGGTCATGAAATTTTCAGAGTAGGTGTAAAATTGATTAATGCGAGGGTACTGAAATTTTCGTCGCGATCGGCCGCTTTTTACGCGAATTATTCGCGAAAAACCTTAGGGGGGGGGGGTGCATCAACCCCCATCATTTAACCCCCGCCCTGTGCCGGCGGGGGTTAAATCAGTGATAGTGGACTATACCTTTCTAGTAGAGCTTTATTTGCCATTATGTCTACAGTGCAAAAATATTTTTATCCTGCACTCCTCTCAGATGCAAAGACAAGCATTTGTTATTTTTTGCATCTGTCTGAGATCAGAGATATGCAAAGATCTCTGGGTTCAAAGCCAAATAATTGAAACTCTAGATAGAAAGACATACGATTCTTCATGGCTCACTCGTGGAAGATCGGATATCTTTTCCTTGCATGTTCAAGAAAAACCTCGCTCCTTCGTCGCTCGGTAACCCGCTTGGAATAGATATCGTTATCTTCCGCTCGGAGACATGAAGAATGCTCTATATCCCTCCTTTACATTAGTTTTTTTCAGTTGGGATAGCAAAATTGGGGTGCTGGCTCGCTGCTCGCAATCACCAGTTTGGGCACTCGCGACATCGAGAAATTCGCAAACCTTATCGGAAACACATACAGGGTGGCCCAGAACGAAATGTTTCCAATTTAAAGTCAATATTTCTCAAAAAGTGATAAAGACAGAACATCAAAAACTTCGAATAATAAATGCGCACATATTTTCAGTAAAGGATGTGATTTTATGTTATTCAGTGAATTACGTTTAAAAGGATTTGTTTTTCAAACTTGCCATGTAAAAATTATTTTTCTGCTCATATTTTTACCCAAAAATGTGAGTGAACGAGCCACCTTCATCCCGGCACCACGGCCTGCAGCCATGCCTTCCACTGGCCAATATAATCGAGGAACACGTTCTCCCAGGCAACCACGATGGCTTTCTGCAAGCGGCGACAGTATCAGAAGTTTCCAGCACTCTAGCCATATTGAGGTGGCTCAAATGCTCTCCTGGCTGGTATTCCTAGTAAAAGGAATAGGACCTAGACCTAGATCCTTTTGAACCAGCTTTTTGTCTTCTGCCGGCAATGCTGCTTTTCAACAGCATAGGAACGGTGGTATTCTGGCACAGGAAACAGCCTGCTCTAGTTGCTTCCTTATCCGTTCGATTACGGCTTGATCTCCTGGAAGTGAGGGCGCTCAGCGGCAAGCCATGTGCCATTTCTTTATTGTTGCTCGAAACCGAAACCGGAGTTCTATAGCCTTGCTCGAAACAGGACTTGGCAGTGAAACGAATGGTATCCGTGGGCACTGGGCAACGTCTTGTGCACCGATTGGTACGTGTAACCAAACAGCATCGTGGTTCAACTTTGACAAAAAAGCAAAAACGTTTCGCTTTATTGAGCATGAGGGTGTTATAGTATGAACAAGATGATGCCATTTTAAAATTTTGCATACCAATGGACGAAAAAGTGACGCAAACTTGGGGAAAATTTCGGCTCGTTATATTTGCATTAGAATTTGCAATATAACTAGGCCTTAAAAGTCGAAAAAGTTTTTTCCTGGGCCAACCGGTATTTAATTTCAAAGTTTGCAGCATTCGAATTCTAAGCAGCTTATCCATTTGAATGCCCTCTTAGACTTTGTCACGTCAGCACAGGTGTATCGTCAAACCTTTTACCATGGCCAAAAATATGAAAAATGTGGCTGCATTCTAGTAAAAAAGTGTCACGCAGTATTTGTCCCAGTTAGCGGGATTTCAAACCATTAGGTACTTCGAAATCCAGGAGCCCTTCTGACGGAATAGGAACAACGCAGACCCAAAATAAGGAAACCTCGTATATCAAAAACTGTGTTTTAAAAATAAATGTGGTAGGTATTCACTTGTGCTCTTTATGAATTAAGGTAATAAACTTTGCCTGAGACTTTCAGGCCAAGCCAAGTCATCAATATTTTACAAGATAGGCTAACAACTTTTAACCCTCGCATGTGTAGGGGGGGGGTCGGATGGACCCCCCCCATGGTTTTTCGCGAATAACTCGCGTAAAAAGCGGCCGATCGCGACGAAACTTTCAGTACCCTCGCATTGATCAATTTTACACCTACCCTGAAAATTTCATGACCCTGACCCAAATGACCTTTGACCTGTGACCTCTTTTCCGAGACCATGTTTGGCCGGAATCGCGGTTTCGCGTATGTCGGCTCGCACTAGCCGCGTGTTTGCAAGCTTTTCGTGGTTTCAAACGTTCAAACATGTGATTTGATGTTACTCCCGTGTGTGTCAAGGTCACCTGAAGGTCAGGTCAGGTCATTGACCTTTGGTGACCTCGGGTGACCTCGGGTCACTTTTTCGAGTTTTACATGTTTCTAGGCTAGTTTTTGGAGCTGAATTCGAATTTAGCAACCATTTGAACATTTACGAAGTAGTTTTGGTGACTTCGTAACATGTTACGAAGCTGTCAGAGGCGGTTGACACGTACTACGAATACCCGTCACGACGCCTACTGGTTGACCTGACCTGACCTCACCCAACCTGGTCTAAATGCTTCAAGACATCATCTGTGATCAAAACTAACACGATATTCGTGATCAGCATCCCGAAAACCCCCTTAGCAGCCACACTTTACGACTTTCTAACAGGTCCCGATTTTCCCTACTTTGGGTCATTGACCTGACCTGGAAGGTCAACCAATGACCTAGGACCTTAAAATTGGGTATCATCGGCTTCCTCTCGTCACGGGCAACACGCTCGTTTTTTCCGCGAAGCTCTAGCTCGATCAGGGGCCAAACGGCAAGGGGGGGGGTCCAACCGACCCCCCCCCCCTACACATTAGAAGCTGGCAAACGCCGCACACATGCGAGGGTTAAAGGCAATGAAACATACCGTTTCAAGGCAATTATACATTAAATGCTTCTTATTTCAATTGACAAATTAAAAAAACACACATCCATGTTGGAGTAGTTGGCAGCTGTATCCTCCAGGGGGGGGGGGGGGCGGGATTTTCTGCAGGTTCGGTACCCTGTGCCACCAGCCCCGGGCTATCGTCCCCAGTCGCGCCAATAGGAGCGTTGTGGACTCTCACTGCCGTTGTCTTTGTATATTGTATATGTATGGTGTTCCACTGACATATTCCTCACGTCACAGTGTCGGACAGTGCTTCACTATGTAAGGTGTCCCTCACGGTAGAGTGTAGGACAGCGCCCCACTGACGTGTCTCTCACGGTACGGTATACTGGCCGGATAGGTCGTCAGAACTATAGCGGAATGTGCCTGAAATGTCTCGTTAGTGGAATAAATGGATAGAACAGTACAGGACATCGCTCCACTGACGTGTCTCGTACGGTACGGTATAGGACAGTACAGGACAGCCCCCCCCCCCCCCACTGACGTGTCTCTCACGGTACGGTATATGACAGTACAGGACAGCCCCCCACTGACGTGTCTCGTACGTTACGGTATAGGACAGTACAGGACAGCGCCCCACTGACGTGTCTCTCACGATGCGGTACAGGACAGTACAGGACAGCCCCCCCCCCCCACTGACGTGTCTCGTACGTTACGGTATAGGACAGTACAGGACAGCGCTCCACTGACGTGTCTCTCACGATGCGGTACAGGACAGTACAGGACAGCCCCCCACTGACGTGTCTCGTACGTTACGGTATAGGACAGTACAGGACAGCGCTCCACTGACGTGTCTCTCACGGTACGGTATAGGACAGTGGGTTCAGGACAGCGCTCCACTGACGTGTCTCTCACGGTACGGTATAGGACAGTACAGGACAGCGCCCCACTGACGTGTCTCGCACGGTACGGTATAGTATATGACAGTGGGTACAGGACAGCGCCCCACTGACGTGTCTCTCACGGTACGGTATAGGACAGTACAGGACAGAGCCCCATTGACATGTCTCTCACGGTACGGTATAGGACAGTGGGTACCTACAGGACAGCGCCACACTGACGTGTGTCTCACTGTACAGTATAGGACAGTCAGTGGGTACAGGACAGCGCCCCACTGACGGAGGAGAC